GAATGCCAAGGTCCGTTTCGGCGGGTGGCGACACTACAAGACATGTTATCTACATTGGTTTTTTAACACTATCTATATCGGTTCTAAAACCGATGTAGAATGGAGTGACTTAGTAAATGTATACCATTTTACATCGGTTTTAAAACCGATGTAAATTTTTGTATAATTTTACATCGGTTCTGTGTATAACCGATGTAAATTTGTACCCAAATTTACATCGGTTCTGTGTATAACCGATGTAAATTTGTACACAAATTTACATCGGTTATTCACAAAACCGATGTAAAATTATACACAAATTTACATCGGTTATACACAGAACCGATGTAAAATTATACTCTCATTTACATCTGTTCCTGTCTGAACCGATGTAGATTATTAATTTTTTTTTAAAAAAAATTGTTTGATTTTAGGTTCTTTCTAATTTAACCTGTAATAAACACATATATAATTCTCTGCCAGATTTTTGAAAATGTGCATGAAATCAAAAGATTAAACAAAACCCACAAACAAATCAAAATAGACAAAAAGAACAAATTAACTTACACAAAAAATACACTATATGGCATATGTAATTAATTTTAATTTTCATCTACAACTAATGAAGAAAAATCCTGAAAATCAAGGTTATAAAACTTGTCCACCAAAATGAAAATAACAAACCACATTAAAGCATGAAACAGCCCACTATGGCATGGTATTTGTTCCCAGGCAGCTATTATAAGTTATTTGTCTCCACCTAAATCAACAATATATCTAACAACAATTCTAGTCCTAAAATTTATATGATCACTGTCATTCTTTTATCTGATCACCCTCATTCTTTTATTCTACTATAATTTTAAAGAAAATAAGAGCAACAATAATTCCAGCCCTAAATGTAGCCAATTTCTCTAATCATCCAACATCAACCAGTTAAACTTGCAGTAAAATCATGCTAAGGAGAATGCCAATAAAAAAAAGGTAGATTGTAACCAAGAAAATCAACCAAGTTAGTAGAACAACTTGATAAAATTGAACATCTAGTAGAATACCAAATCAAAAATAGAAACTAAAATTTGATATAATACAAACATAATAACGAATAAGTATAGCAATACAACACCAAATCAACCAGAAATAAAAACTAAAATGTGATCTAACCCTCCAAGTAAGCAGAAACCAAAATGCAACATCGTCAAAAATCATGATCTATTTCTAAATTTTTCTAAAAAGAACTTTGCCCATTGACTGCGAATGTCTTCCAATTTTGTTTCTGGCAATGGTGCAACATCGTCAAAAAGCTGTAACATACATGATGATATTAGTTACATCATAATCATTAAAAGAAATTAATCAATATTGTTAAAAATAAAAGAATTATATTACCTCGATCCAATCAGTTGTTACTTCTCCTTCAATTATGTCCAACATCCAATTCATCACGTAGTATCCACATTCATAATGTCCTTGTTGCATATTACTCTAAAATGAATATCAATTTGAGTTGTATAAACAATTTTTTAATTAAGCTAATAAAAAGCAATTTTTAGGTATATTGAGGTAACAAACCACTTACCATGGGATAAATCCAATCTAGGTTCTTTGGTTGTGCTGTAGATCTACCACTCATAACATTATACACAACCATAACACTAAAGAAAATAAATCCAAATAAGTTACATGATTAAAATTTATAATAGAGAGCATAAAGTTAATACATGTTACAAATTAAAGTTTACCTTTTTATTAAATTTTTGAATTGTACATTGGGCTTAGGATGCAAAGAACAAAACCAGATTGCAACATTGTTTGTAGGACAAAGAACCAAGAGCTGCCAATGATTTCTATATTGAGCCACAATTAGTTACACAACATATACATAAAATAAATGCAATTAACAAATATGCACTTACTGATCGACATAAGAAGCCAAGTAAATTTGCTTTGGTGAAGTTTTTATCCTTTCATTGATATAATTTTGAGACTCAGCTTTATTATTCCCTGATTTTTGTATTGTCTGGGGCTAAAAAAATCCATACAAGTCACCATGGCCAAGCTCTTCAATTTTTTGATTCAAATATCTGAAATATATGCAAAAGAAAGAATTAATTATGAATGCATCATAGTTAAAAAGATAATGATACTAAGAATTGTGTACTTACAACATCCATAATTGTATGATTGAGATGTTGAGCATTTCACGTTGTATTAATTCATATATATCTTGAAATGAAATATACAACTTAAAATCATGATTGTTGACACCAAATAGACTTGCAGGACATATCACCTGAAATGATTAGATTGGGTAAGTAACAAACCTAAAATAAAAATATGTTAAATACTCTTCATATTAGTTAGACAAGTCACCTGAAATGGTTGGCTATAAAGTAAGGACTTTGACGCCTCACGCAAGTCACTAATAGGATCACTATTAGGTTTTGACCTATCAGGAGGTGGTACTCGTATGTTTTCTCCATCAATTCCCTATACAATGATCAAAAATCAAATATTGATATTAATAAGCAAAAATATGTATTGGTAAATAAAAATATTAATAATGAAAACCATAGGTTAAAAATATATATCGTGGTTGAAATATCTCTCACAAGATGTCTCGACCATGAAATGAAAGTCTGTAGGGCCTGTCCAACCAATTGAACCTCTGAAGTAGGTACGGGAACTGGAGCATTAGAATCTCAAACTTGCTTAACAACCACCTTCACAAAATCATTTGTCAAAGGCACATGGTGTATGACTAAAATCCCCTCATAAACTCTACCAATAGCCACTACACGAGGAAGAATCTCATCAACGCATAACTCACATTGATTGGAGATATCAACATGAGGCTCGCCCCCAAAGGGATTACCAACAATAGTAGAACTTGAAGGAGTTAGACAACTACCTTTAGTGCTAGCATGAGCCACCATAGCATGATCTACCTCAACTGGAGGAACATCCTGTGATTGTTGAGCACTCATATTTGGGTACTTTGACATTAAACTTTGTGTGACCCATACATATATTTGTTGTGTGAGGGCTTCAAAATCCTGGGGGCTCAATTTAGATAAGGATGAGCCTTTTGACAATGGTCCAAAGTAATTACTAATAGTAGCACCAGCCCCAGCTGTACGAACAAGACCAGGGTGCTCTGGTCGCCCAAGGGCAGTAGTCAATATATCTTGACGACCTTCGGGAATAAAAGAACCTTGATATGTTTGCTCCTCCAACTCATTTTACAATAAATAAACTTTGTTTATAATATATCCTACAATAAAAAATTCTACAACAAATCTTAAGATAGGTAATGAGATTTTTTTTATAAAAAAAAGATACTTACAATTTTTTCTGCAACTTGGTTAGCAGACTCAGAAGTCATCTCACCCGAACTTTTTGTGCGAGCCATGTTCCACAACCTATGGCATGAAGGAGGAGGTGGAGGATCAATCACTACATCCTTATTAGCACCAGATTGTATTACTTCCTCCTTAAGTCTCTTAATTTCACTTTTCATAAAATTTCTCACAAGCAACTCATAACCCCCACGAGATAATAGGTGGGGAGCATTATTAAGTTTCTGGATATCTTGTGCTTTTTTTCTTACAAGCTGCAATAATTTAATAACCCATAAGTAAAAGTGAAAAATAAATAAAAATATAATATAAATTTTAAAAAAAATAAACACTACTTACCTTCCAAGAAGGGTCATTTCGAATTTCTTTAAATTTTTCCCATTCTTCAAGGTCAATATTATACTCATCACAAGGACTTTTACCCTTGTATTTTCCATGTACCCACTCCCTTGTAAGATAAGACTTATGTTGCCTAAATTTTGTAGCAACAGATGAAAACATTTTACTCTTCAATATATTAGTATCATTAATGCCATACACTCCCTACAAAAAAATTTAGATTTAAGAGTTAATAATAATAACATTAAAAATGATTATCATTTTGTCAAATTATGTAAATATAGTGGAAATACCAAAATATCCTGCCAAATCATGTTTTTTAGTAGTTTGTGGGACTTCTTTCCAAGAAGGGACTAAAATACTAATCTTGTCTCTAGCAAGGGTTCCCAAATAACTTGAAAATTGAGCTTTGTTTGGCCCTGAAACTATCCCAATAGTGGGATCCACATCAAGTGATATTTTGGGCCCTTTCATGCGCTTACGGGCTAAACTTTTCATTCGTGTCAACTTCCTCTTTTTCTTAGATGTAGCCTGTGAAGTAAGGACTGTAGGAGCAGGGGAGCCTTGAGGAGCAGTGCTCGATTGAGTATCCATGTGTCTGTTTTGACAAAAAAATAAGCAAGGTCAATTGGAAAAGTAATAAAATGAATTAAAAACATGAACAAATGAATGAAAAGAATATTAAATTATACATCAAGAAAAAAATAACTTAATGCGGTAATTAAATAGTAATGTTTTCCCATATGCCTTCATCATGGTCATTACGAGTGGCATGAACGTCGTCTTGCTCAATTTCTTCGTTGTTAATAGGCTCACTCTCCAATGGTGGAGATAAGAGAAGGTTAGCCAAAGATAACCTAGTGACTAAGGAAGAGATGTTGAGGCGAAATGCTCACTCAATATCATATAATCCAAAGTATTTACAAGGTGTGGTGCCTTGGGTATTTATAGGAGTGGGAGGCATCTAGGATTGCATTTAGGGTTGCCTTGGCCGAAATTCACCTTGCCAAATGCAAATCAAATGAAACCTAAATTAACCCTAGATGCAACTTGGTTGCCAAGGATAGAATCTTTGGGTTTTAGTTAGGCTACATCTAGGTGCATGATAAGACCATGCAACCTTTGCCCTCCACTTGGGCCTAAGCCTTTCTAAGTCCAAAAATAGGTCCAAAACCACCAAAAAAATGCATCACCTCCTAATTAAAACCCTAGCCCAAAAATTAAAATCCTATTATCTAAGGCACCCCATAATACAAGGGTAAAATGGGAAATACAAAAGAAAATAAATCCTATGACTAAGATACCCCAAAATACAAGGGTAAAATTGGAAATATAAGTAAAATAAATTCTAAGACAAAAATACCCCAAGATACAAGGGTAAAATAGGAATAAAATAATAAAATCCTACACTACTCAAAATGGGCCTAGGAGATGGATCAATACTCCACACTCATGATGAGTATGGCTCTAGGCGTGGTATCTCCTTCATCCTCCTCCATCCTCTTGAGTGTTTCAGAGGGTGAGCATTTGAATGTTTCAGAGGGTGAGCATCTGAGTGGTCGCGCGCGGGGGCGGGGATGAATTTCTAAACCCCTTCTACATCGGTCAACATGAAAACGGATGTAGAATAGCTAACTAATTACAATTCTACATTGGTCACTCATATAACCGATGTAGAATTGTTTATATTTACATCATTTTTTATAATAACCGATGTAAATATTCTTATATATTCAAGTTATTTACAAAATTGCTACCGCATATTTATTTTATATCGATTTTTAAGGAACCGATGTAAATATAGTGACGTGGAATACTATTTTTCTAGTAGTGATGGCTTAATACATCACTGGTGACCCAATGTACACTTGAAATACCACAATACATTACTAGCATGCGGCCTAAGCGACATACCTGGAATAGCTCAGTACATCACTAGTGATCCAAGGTACACTTGAAATAGCTCAATACATCACTGGCTTGCAGCCTAAGTGACACACCTAGAATAGCTCAATACATCACTGGTGGCCCAAGGTACACCTGAAATAGCTCAATACATCACTGGCATGTTGTAACACCCTATATTTTTTTTATAAAACATATTATAGGTATTTTATTAATAATTTGGATATCTTATTTTATTAATAAGAGCTAGTTAATACTTTTTTTTATTATTATTTACCATATTTGTGATTATTAAATATTTTTCTATTGGTAATTATTTTATATGAATATATATTGTGAGGTTTCATAATTAAAGGTTATATTATTTAATTAATTATAATAAGGGAAGGGAAATTATTTTGATAATCATGGTTAACATTTTTACTAAAGGGTTAAAGGAAGGTTAGGTTTTAAAAAGAAAAAAAAAAAGAGAAAGCTGACCAGTTTTATATTTTACATTGTTCTCACGTACACGTTTATGCTTCAGAGCTCGGAGAACCGAAAGAAGGAGGAGTTTTCTTTCCATGCTTTAGTTGTAGGTAGCTTGTCTGTTATTGACAGATAGGGCATGCATGATGTCCTTTAACACTATATTCACTCAAGTTCCCATATGCTGGAAAATCATTAATAGTACAAAATATCATTGCACGCCACTTGAAACTTTGTTGACGATACCCATCAAATACATCAACCCCTTCTTCCCACAAAATTCTCAAGTCCTCAATCAAGGGACTTAGATATCCATTAAAATATCTATGTCATTTCCTGGTTGTCTTGGGCCTGCAATCATCATACACAATATCACATATTTTCTCTTCATGCACAACTAAGGAGGCAAATTGTACATTGAAAGGAGAACAGGCCATGAACGATGGTTGGTGCTTAAGTTCCCCAACGGATTCATTCCATCTGAAGCAAGTCCGAGCCTAAGGTTTCTTGCCTCACTACCAAAATCTGGAAATAACCCATCAATTTTTTTCCGTTGTGGAGAATCAGCCGGATGCCGAAGCATGACATCACAATTTCTATTGTCTGCATGCCATGTAAGGTTCATTGCATCAGTTGCATTAGCAAACAATCGCTTAAACCTTGGAATGATTGGAAGATACCATAACACCTTTGCTGGGGCCCCCT